GACAAGACAAGTGTCTTCTAACCAGAAGATTTTGCCTCCAAATGGCACTACTATATGATAGTTACGGCAATGTAGGCTAACCAGCCAAGCAGTATCAAACTAGACCATAGTCAATCAAGCAAAGCATAGAATATAGTTGGATTTATGTTGAGACAATAGTAATCATGATGAGATTGTAATGTGACCTCAATTTTGACAAAATATTAATCAAGACGATCAGCTTTTTTAAACATAGTTATATATGGATCATTGTTTAAAATTGATGAGGTCGCCTCAGCGCAATTTGATGCAAAAAAAAATACACAAGTAGTGCAAATTCAAGCCTTCCTTACCATAAATATAACAATACCATTATAAAAAAGATACACCTTACAACTTCAAATAAAAAGGACAACAACAACAAATAAATTAAATAAAATACGATGCAACGACACCTTACAACCTACAAAAAATTTGAAGAAATATACAAGCGGAATAGAAACTGTGGAGAGAAAAAGTAGATAGAAGACCAAGACGAAATAGAAGTAAAGTAGAGAGGCTAGATCGCAAGCTAAAAACCCACAGGTTTCACATTTCAACAATTCATCACAAATCTCTCCTTTTTCATAAAAAATTAGCCACCCTATATAGAAAAAGAATGGGAATGGATATTAAATGCTCACTTAAATTTATCACCCAAATAGCCAATAGAAGCATTCAAATCAGCCACAAAACTCTTCCAAATCAATCCAATTAATTAGAAAATAAAGCATCCAACATAGGTTTCAACAAATGGGGAAACCGAGCAGCCACATGAGGGAAAATGAGCAGCCAACAGAAAAAACAACAAGGAAATCGAAGGGGTATAGGGGAAAACAAAGAGCCATGAGGGAAAACCGAAGTCCAGCATGGGTAAGACTAATAGCCAACATGGGAAGATCAAACAACAAATTTGGGAAGACCAGCAATTAGCAGGAATACGAGAAGACAGCAAAATTTTCAGGAAATAGTAAGGAAATTCAGCAAACAACAAGGAAAATGAGAAGTCACAAGAAAAATATAAAGTAGTATATCTTGACTACATCACAATTCCAGTGAAAAATACCTCGAGGCTCACACCTCGAGCTTTTTTATGAGGCATGCCTCGCCTTACTGGCGTAAGTCATATGCCTTACCTGATTTATATATATTTTTTATTAAAACTTACCTAAATCATAAACTAAAGTCTCAAACAAACATGCCTTCATGCACCCTAAAGCCACAACAACTTCCTCTCAATTGCCTTGACCTTCAGCCCACCTCCTTAGTTGTAGCAACCACCATTGTAGTCACCCCGGGGAATCACTTGAAAGCTTGACACCACCACCTCCTCCTCTAAAAATTTTGGAGTATTATTCTCATCTTTATGTTGAAGACAAATATTTATGAAAGAGAAAGATGATTAAAATAAATGAAGAAGAAACAGATTAAGAGGCATTGAACTCCACAGGATAAGACAGTTGAGAGACCAATTTGTTATGATGACGGCTAAAATAAAGATCCCTTTGGTGATGACAGTGCAGATGATTTCCGAGTTTTTGCCAATTATGTCAGCTTTTTAAGAATTAAATGTGGATGAGTGAGGAACTGAGAAATAACAAATTTGGAGTTTAACTTAATGTTATAAGATGCCTTTATATAATTCATATATTTCATATTGTTTTGCTCTTGTAATATTTGGATTTCAATTCTATTTCATGCAATTTATCAGTTGTCACTTTACGCATTATGCAATTTGTTGTTTCATACAATTTGTTACTTCGTAATTCAATAGAAAATTAATATATCAATATTTAACATATTATTTGGGTATTATATAAAAAATCACTTTTGATCTTTATTTTCAACTTGCGCAATTTTTAGATTTTGAGGCTTACGCCTTAAAACGCATTGAGGCTTACGCCTCGCCTCACGAAAGAAAAATGCCTCAATACCCAATTGCGCAATTTTAAAACATGACATGGATTAGTTAAGACTAGGCTAGCAACTAAGATTTGAATAGGAGTTTAAGGAGATGCATATGGCAAACAAGAAAAACATGAAAATCGAGGCATTAAACACACCAATGCACCTTTTAATACCATTTATAAGCATCTCTGTTATCAATACAAAAAAAGATATGATCAATTGTGATCCTTAATGTAATAATATAGCAATTAAAAATTATTTGGACACTCAACAACTTTTAACATAAGTCAATGCCCCATCATACATATCTTTAAAAAATATAAAATACTTCCGACAGACGAATTTTTTTCCTAATGTTCAATCAATTCTTTAGTACTCGAGTACATGCCTTCAATAGATCAATTAAAAGCATACTAAGATCATTTTTTCTCCATATTTTTTCATTAATGAATATCATATGATGTGTTTTCAAACCCAAAATAATAAATTAACCTTGAAAATTATGCATCATAAGAAAATAATTGTGTTATCTATTAACAAATTAATAGTAGAAATCTAAAAATGGCATTTAAACAAAGGTCTGCCATCAAACTCTAGTAGCATTTGTGAGACACGACTAATATCATATTATCATCACCATCATTATTAGCCTTATCCCAAGGATTTCATTAAAAATCATTTTCTATTCATCTTATTAAGGGTTATGTAAGGTGTTAAGTCTCTTATGCACAATTATTTTATAACAACTTCTATATTACAATAGGTCTACCTATTTTTCTGCACAATCCATTAAAATTAATTTAATCTACATGGCTAACAAGTGCATTTTCTACCCTTTGTTATGCATGCTCAAGCCACCTTAGCTTATTCACAACTAGATTATCTTTAATAGTGCAAGTCTAATCATCCCTCTAGTATAATCACTCGTAAATTTACCCTCAAGTTTTTTCACATGTCCATCTTATCATACCAATAACGGTTTTACTATACATCATTCAAAGTCATACAACATAGCCGACCTAGTTGTTGATGTATAAAATTTATCATTAAATCTCAATAATATGCTCTCATTGTATAACAATCCTGAGTCACTTCTCCATTCCTATCACTCGTCCTTAATTTTATAACTTATATTCTCATCTATGCCTTTGATCTTTTAAATAATAAATCCAAATACTTAAATCTATCGCATCTAGGTATTATTTTATCTTTAATTATTTTTATTGATAATTGTTAATATCACATCAACCAAATTACATTTTTTTTTTTTACTTTATGTAATACATAACATGGATTGAGTTGTCTCTAACAATTCGGTGACATTATCATTGTATTTCTTCAATTGATTCATTTTTTAGTTTTTTTTTTTATTTGGGTTCTTAAATGCTCAAAGAAACATATGTTTTATGTGTAGTACAAACTAGAGCAATAAGGTTCAACATCGCTCTATAAAGAAGTAGGCTTACAACGTAAATAAAGAACTGATGTGGCGAAGCGTGCACTTCACCGTTGCTTTGCAAAGACACATGCACTCTACGCCACCTTCTCGGTCCAAGAAGATTAGTTCAACAACGGTTTGCACTACATCGCCACTTTGCAAAGACACCTGCACTCTAGTCCACCTTCTCGGTCAAATAAGATTAGTTCAACAATGGTTAATATTGTGTTGCTCATCATAGTGCATGCACACACTACTTCTTACTAGCTAGAAATATTTCTTCTTGTTAATATTTCACTTAAAATTCAATAGATCATTTCTTAGTGTATTTTTAGTTTTTATAATATATTTACAATATGTTGTATTTACTCATAGTATTTTAAATAATCATATTAACATGATGTGATAGTTTTCTCTGTCATTTTACTTGCTACACAAATTCCTAGAAAGTTTATGTGCATCATTTGAATAGATGATAAATACCAGAACTTAATATAAATCATGAATTATGTTGTTATATAATCAAGTATGGTCATAATATAAACTTAATTAAGAACTATTATTGCAATGCAAAATCTATATAATGCATGTTGGTATGTGTGCTACATACATTGTCAATAGAACCCTTTTGGATGTTGGTAAGCCAAACCGAAAGGTCTATAAAGTGACGAATCTTTTTGAAACCAGGGAATTTCCATGGGTTAGTATTTACATTCCCGGTTTTCAACATGACGTAATGAAACCAATTATAAAGAAATATACATATATAAAAAAAGAAAATCACAGATGATTAATGTGTTATTGATGGATGTATCAGTAAAGAATGCTTGTAAGTGGATGTTTTTGCATTTGAACATAATGATCTTTGTTTACATAGATAATAATTTACGAACTCCATTATATAATAAGTACAACTAAATGATTACCATAATTAAAAATACTACCATGTATACACTGTTTGAAACTGTTATGATATAGTATCCATTTTTACTCATGCCCCTTTCTTTGCTCATATTTATACCCCATGCCTTGTCATTCATACTTTACTTCAAGGTTCACCTACTAAGTTTGTTTCTTCCAAACTCACACTTATTATTTTATAATTTTCAAGTTATTAGTTATACATAACCAAGAGGAAAGTTTCAAAGCTCATGCTTTAGGTGTTTCATTAGAGGTAATTAAAATTAGAGTAATTTAATTAATTCAATAATGTACTTGATTTTTATTTATATTTTGTACTAAATTACCATGTGTTAATTGATTTAGATACGCTGATGACTTCATTGGTGGATAAATAAATATGAAATCTGTGAATATTGCAGATTGGGATTGTTCCTTGATTTGCAACTACCGGCTCTACTAGGTTTCTGTGATTTCCTTTCAAAATTGATGGCAGATTGTGACTTGAGGTCTAAGAATTGCATTCATAAATGTCATGTATCAAATGGCCAAAAGGCAATCTGCAATCCATTGGTCAGATTTTTTTTATGAAAGATGGAACAAATCCAAGTAATCGCGAAAATAACAGACCCAGAAATAATGATACAAAACATGCATAACCTGATATCAGGATTATGCCATCACGAACAAGGAAAAAAATACAAAAAGATAAAAAACAAAGAAATTCCCAACAAACCTGGGAGCACTGCGATATGAACTTGGTCCAGGCTGCCTTCTGCGGCCAGGCCTTCCCTTTCATTGTCGGCAGTTCCAAAGCAGGCAGCATCTTTATCAATTGCTCCGTCTCTGCCAAATCCCACATTCCAGCATTCAGAAATCATTCAAATTTCAGCAGTAATCAACAAGAGGCAAAAACATAGTGGAAACAAAAAGCACACAAAAAAAATATATCAATCCGCCGAAAAAACAGAAACATGCAACTTCGCGTAGCTAAGATATGAGACCTCTTGAAGAAAAATTAATCGTAGAACTCTCCTCCGTGCCGTCCTCAGCCTGCTTATCGTCCGGATTAGTAGAAGCGTCAACGAGGAGATCCACATCCAGATCTCCTGATGGCTGACTCACCTCGCAAGCCGCAGCGAGCTCCTTCGAATTTGCGCGATCCTCCGACGACGACGCTGCCGCCACCTCTTCCTAGAAAAATTAAATCAACCGAACGCATAAAACCCCTAAAATTTAAAACAAAAAAGGGGTAGAATTCCAAGAAGAAGGGCAACGTAAAAAATCGCACCTTTGAGCGTTTGGGTTTCGGAGAAGAAGATGTGGAGGGTGAAGAAAGAGAACGCTTCGATGAAGCCGAACTCCTCGTCGCCACCATGTTTCTCTTCTTGCGGAGGAGGAAGGAGGGAGGAGGGAGAGAGGAAGCGAGGGAGATAGGGGAGAATGTTACGTAAGTTGCTCTTTGTATTTTGTTATTTATTATGATTAAAGCATATTTTTGGCAATCATTTACTAAGGGCAGTTTTGTGGTCCAATGACAAGAGATGTGTTTAGGGCGTTTTGATTAGAAACAAAAAGTATTTCTATTTTAAAATTATTTATATTTTATTTGAAATTAAATAAACATTACTTTTTTTAATTCATATATTGATTTATTTTAAATTTATTAGAATTTATCAATTTTTTAATATTATAAATTTCAAAGTTATAAAAATCAAATTATATATTATAACCTAATAAATATTAAAATTATTTAAAAATAATATAAATTATTGATCATAGCTCATGAACAAATTTAAACATTGTTGCGTCCTGGAGTATTCGCGGCGATAGATAAATATATAATTTAACGTCTTAGCATTATACAAATATCCAGCACACAAGCAGATAAGAGAAAGTGTGTGTAGCATTCATAAGAGACACTAGAGTTTTTAAGTGAAAATCCCTGAAAAAGGGGGAAAAACCACAGGGTCTGACCTAGTTTGAATGAATCCACTAATATTTGCAATCAATTACAAAATGAGGCCGTTTTTAGGGAGAAGACATTGGCTTTATGTTACAAATGTATGTCATATAAAGCGCATTGCATGGTGAGAGTTATAATAATCAACATAGACATGTTTGTTTGGTTGGAAAGAACATTGTAGGTGATGGAGGTCAGAAGGACCGTAGTCGGCATGAGACAGAGATCTGAAAGACCGTAGTTGATAGGAGACCGGGGTTAGAAGATCGTTGTCTGGTGATTGAGGTCGGAAGGACCATAGTAGGCGACGGAGGTCGGAAGGATCGCAGTCGGCAGGAGACCAAGGTCTGAAAGACCTTAGTTGGCAGGATACCGGGGTCTGAAAGATTCTTGTAGTAGGGCGGTACTCTGGTAGAGCTTTGGGGGTCAGGTAGTGGCCCAGCAGAAGTCCGGGCCTCGAGTGGTGGTCCGGCAGAAGTCCGGGCCTCATGTGTTGGTCCGGCGGAGGTGCGGACCTGAGGTGGTGGTCCGACGAAGGCAAGGGCCTCAAGTGGTGGTTCGGCGGAGCAACGACGTCGGGCGGTGGTCCGCCGGAGGTGAGGGCCTGAAGTGGTGGTCCGGCAGAAGTCCGGCAATGGTCGAGGATGAACTTCTTCCTTCTCTTCTCTTCTCTTCTTGTTTAGGTCATCCCTTTCAAGAGAAATGAGGGGGTCTATTTATAGATTTATGGAGTGGCATGTCCCGTAAATATGTGCAAATTATTTCATCCGGTCACTGGATGCGGAGATAGGTTCGGATATTAATAAAATATTATTTTAAATTAAGCGCATCAAAAACGCAAGTAAAGCGCAGGTAAAGTGCAGGTAAAGCGTAAGTAAAACACAGGTAAAGTATAGGTAAAGCGCATGAAAAAGCGCAGTCAAAAGCGTAGGTAAAGCGCAACTAAAGCGCAAGTCAAAAGCGCAGGTGATGTGGCAAATTTTTATTGGATGTCCGAACCTATTTTTCGCGTCCGGTGACAGGATGCAATAATTTGTCGTAAATAGGTGAGAGATAAAGGGTAAAGGGGGATTGGTCGGATGGACGGCCGATATTAAATCCCTTGATCATGGACCGTTTGATGGACATTTGAATGTCTTAGTGATGTTGGAATTCGACGATCTTGGGCTCGTTGGATTTTTCTCGTTGAGCCACTCGATTCGATTATAAGCATGTCATGTTTAGAAACCATTTGGTAATCTAAATTGTGGTTCGGACATTCCAATAGCGCTTAGGGTCCTTGATTTGGACTCATTTGGGCTCAGAATGAGTTGAATTTGGTGTCGTTGGGTTCGTATTTCTGATACATTCAGTTTAACTGTAAGTTTGCTGAAATCAGAGTTTGGATGGTTCCACTTTTAATTTCAAAAGTTTCCAACTTGATTTTGCATCAAGATTCGTGCCCGATCAAGATAATTTTTTTATGACGTATCAAACATAAAGCTATTTAAGAAGATCCATTAACCATTAATGTGATATAAGTATATGCATATTCTAAATATGGTTATCATATTTAATATAATATATACATTTTATAATATAAAATACTTATGTTTTTAACTTTTATAAATTATACACAATCTCCGGCCAAATGCATAGCCAAGCCAACTTCACAATTTAACTCTCATTGATAATTCTTATAGTTTTTTAGTCCCACGTCTCAGAAGAATTTTAAGTAGTTACAACAAATTAGGATGCATTATGGGGTAGCAACATATTTTAATTAAATTTACTTGCATGTGTCTTTAAAATAAATATTTAAATTTTAAGAAAATTAATTAAATAAAAATTATGATTAAAATTTAATTAATATACAACAATATCAAAGCTTTTGTTCTACTACCTGGGGTCTGCTACATGAATCATTTTCTCCATTGTATTATGTTAAAAGTTAAATTCTCGTAATTATGATTAAAATTTAATTAATATACAACAACAATATCAAAGCTTTTGTCCCACTACTTGGGGTCAGCTACATGAATCATTTTCTCTATTGTATCATGTTAAAAATTATATTCTGGTTTAAATCTAACAAATAAATATCATTTATAATATTTCTAACTAAGTCTTTTAAATTCTACCTCTGCCTTTCTTAATATAAGTCAAATCTAATATCTCTACTTTCCTAACCGAGTAATCGGAAGGCTGTCGTTTTATGTGACCAAATCATCTAAGCCGACTCTCTTTAATCTTATCTTCCACTGGAGCTACTCCAACCTTTTCACGTATATGCTCATTTGTATCCTATCTCTAAGATAAAGTCACTCATCCACCTGAGCATCTTCATCTTTACAACACTTAACTTAGTAGTATGCTTCTCTTTTACTAGCCAACATTCAACATCATAAAAACATTACATGAGTAGAGGTATTAATGAAAATTTATTTTAATATAAAAGAAAATATTTATTGGACCATCCACAATTTTTTGGTTGAACAGATGGTTCAAATCAGTCCGCGCTAAATCTTATTTTCAACCTAATCAAACCAACAACATAGTGGTTCACAATTGAGCAAGTAGAATCGACTGGTCCTGTCCGATTTTCTAAACACTGATTAATCATTTATCATTGTTACCACAGTGTTTTGTCATCTAAATAACTTCAAATATAATATTTTACACTGCATTCATATTATTTCAAGCTAACTAAGAAAATAATCACCTCCAATTACTTTACAATCATCTAAATAACTTTAAATATTTTAAACATATTTCATTCATTCTGCCTTATATTTTTTTTTACTTTACATTTTTTTTCATCCAACTCAACATTTCTTTACTCTAGAAAAAAAAAATCTCATTATATTCTGATTTAAATTTAACTAGATGATATTTAAAAAATTTAGTATATTTTAAAACTAAAATAATATATAAAGAATTAATATTATACAAATTTTAATCTAAAATTGAGAGCTTTGAGCCGTGCTCTTTTCTTCTTTTTTTTTTTTTTTGGTTAGAATAGTCTGACCATTTTTATTTCTTTGACTATGAATATTGAGTAAATAGGTGTTGGGATGTGGACTCATCAAGAAATTAAAATGTTGTATAAGTTGGACCTATTTGATATATTTTTGTTTTTCAATCTATTTATTTAATATTTGTTAGGGTTTATATTATTTATTGTTTTAAAATATTAAATTTACTTTTTAAAACACTCAATTAATATGGCTCCAACACATATTCGCCCCCCAATAAATATTTAATTATTTTTTGATGAGTAATTCTTGTTGGGATGTGGTTTGTCTTGAAATTAAATGTTTATATTAGTTGCGCATTTTTTATATATTTTCATTTTTTAACTATTTATTTAATATATTTGAAGGGTTAATATTGTTTCTTGTACACTAAAAAAATGGCTCTACCGCAAATTTATGCCCCATAAGAAATATTTTATTCATACACTAAAAATCATAATTTTTTTTTTGTTTAAGGAAAAGTTATGCCTTTGCCATAAATTATATTGTTGGCTGACCTAACGGCTAACTCCAGAGCGAGCGACTTATGGCGATCGGGTTTTTACTGTTCAATCTATTGGATATTTGTGCTGATTTCGTGTTTCTCTTTGTTATTATCTACTCTGGTAGATTTTTTCGAAGTTTTCTAACCTAGGGCCTTCGAGCCTCTGGTTTTTTTCAAACATGGAGGCGGCTCCGTCTTCTTACAATCCATCCTCTTGGGGTAAGCCGCCATCATTTTCGGTGAGTGGTAATAAGGGTTTTTTTTTTTTTGGTGGTAATGGTAATGATCTTAACTCTAAATCTCATTCGTTTCGCGACGTACTTGTGGGTAATGCCCCGTCGAAAGATTTTGGTTTTGCTTTTTCTAAGTTTTCGGTTAAAGGTTTTCCGGCTTTACTTATTTCGGATGAGGATATTGTTAAACTTGCTACTCCATATCAATTTACGTTGGTTGGAAAGTTTTCCGTTAAATGCCCTAATCTCGATTCTATTAGAAATTTTTTTGGCAACTTAAAACTTTCTGGTGTTTTGTCTGTTGGTTTATTAGATGCTAGACATGTCGCTATTCAATTATCTAACGACTTGGATTACAGTCGGATTTTTGCGAGAAGGGCTTACTATATAAATAACTGTCATATGAGACTTTTAAAATGGACTCCTTACTTTGACATCAAAGAGGAGTCACTGATTATCCCGATATGGATGTCTTTCCCGAATCTTTAGTTATTTTTTTTAACCCTCATGTTTTGCATGCTTTGGGCTCCATATTTGGAAGCCATTACAAACAGACCAAGCAACTGCTTCTAAATCTAGGCCTTCGGTTGCTCGTATTATGGTGGAGTTGTATATTACAAAAAAAAACATCCACATGAGGTGAGGATTGGATTAGAATTTTCAGGATATTTGCAAAAGGTTAAATTTGAAAACATACCGGATTTTTGTCCCCATTGCAAAGTTCATGGGCATTCCTTCAATGAATGCTTTGTGGCTCATCCCACTTTG